TTTGTAAGTAACCCCTCAAAGTGCATTTTTTAGATGAGTTGTATATCAAGACAGGTTTAACAACATATAACAGAACCTTACCACACCCTTAAGTAACACAGAATTAAATAAAACAGAAGTTTATTTTTCTCTTAAACACAAAAAAAAAGAACCAAAAGTTTTGTCACCTCAGTCTGTAATAATGACTTGACAAAGTCATCAGTGTATCAGGTGCCTTCTAGATCATTGCACTTTCTCTCCAAGGTTTTGTTCTTAGTCTTTGTGATGGTTAATATCGAGTGTTGACTTGATTGGATTGAAGGATGCAAAGTATTTTCCTGGATGTGTCTGTGAGGGCCCTGCCAAAGAAATTAACATTTGAGTCGGTGAACTGGGAAATGCTGATCTACCCTCAATCTGGTGGGCACCATCTAATCAGCTGCCAGCACGGATAGAATAAACAGGCAGAAGAAAGTGGAATGAGGAGACTTGCTGACTCTTCTGGCCTTTGTGTTTCTCCCTTGCTGGATGCTTCCTGCCCTCGAACATCAGATTCCAAGTTCTTCAGGTTTTGAATTCTTGGACTTACACTAGTGATTTGTCAGGGGCTCTTGGGCCTGTGGCTACAGACTGCAGACTGCACTGTTGGCTTCCCTCTTTTCAAGGTTTTGGAACTTGGACTAGCTTCCTTGCTCCTTAGCTTGCAGATGGCCTATTGCGAGACTTCATCTTGTGATTGTATGAGTCGATTCTCCTAATAAACTCCTTTTCATGTATACATATATCCTGTTAATTCTGTCCCTTTAGAGAAACCAGACTCATACAGTCTTCTTTCTCCATATGACTGCTATAGCACTGGTCATCATATATGTGTCCTAAAATGCAGGATGAAAGAAATAGGAAAAATAAGTTGTAGCTTCCATGGTTAAGAGTATAAGTTGAGAATAACATGATTAACATAAGTTGCCAATATTGTTCAGTATTTGAGTACTTTGTCTTCTCTACTTTAAGAGAGACTGACAGATTCAATCTTGTGCAGGATTGCCAATCTTTCAGCCAAAAACAGGGATATTGTGATTAAAGTAGATAAATAAACATTCATCCTATTAACTAGTCATCTCTACCTCCTTCTGTGCAATGATGCCTCAAGGAATTAAGGAGGAAAATCAGAATTCTCTTCTTTCAGATTCCTTTTTTAGAAACCTCCCACCTACAATATTACTCAAGTGTGTTTAAGATAAATGAAAGTATTATTTCCTGCCTTTTATATTATTTCCTGAAAGTTCCTCTAATAAAATTTTAAAATTGGCTTCCAGCTACATGAAAATATTTAACACTTGCCATTATGCTTTTCCAGTAAAATAGATTCAATTACTCTCAAAGATGCTAACATTCAGACTTCAGTGACCTGTTTAGCTTGATTTTGTAATTGGAAGTTTTTATTTTGCTTGCAAATATATAAAAAATAAAAAATATATAATTACTTCATCATTATATTACAAAAAGAATAATAGTGCAATGAATTATCACAAAAAAAGTAGATGTTACGGTATCCCGTTTATGTTGGAGGAGAAAACATGAAGATGCCAAATGTATTTTTGGTAATGCTGAGTTCAAAGTGTTCATAATACATTTATTTGGAAATGTCCTCTAGATATATAACAAATATTTGAAGTAGAAAATACAGGCTCAAAATAAATGAGATTTTTGAAAAGCAGATAACTGCTCCCAATGATTCTAAATCTCTTGATCTCTACGAGTTATATCTTGGGATACTAAAAGTATTTGCAGTTGAGTCTAAAACCCTTTTGAGAAATAGACAAGAAGTTAATAAACTGGAAGTGCCCTAAGTTTACATGAAGTAAATGAAGTTGCGACTCCACGAAAATGTGAAAAACATTTTACAAAACAATCTAACCCAAGGAAGTTTATCAAGCACAATTAATAGATTTTGCATCTTTAAAATAATAAGTGATTGTCAATGGGTACAATAATAATAAACAATCATAAGAATAACTATTTTTATATGACTGCAAGAGATTTGAAACACTAGCATAAGTGAAATTGAAGCTATTTGATGATGCAAACCAAGAGAGAAACACACCGACTCTGTTACACACTGTTAGGTAAAATAGCAGTTGACTAAGCCACCTTTGAAAAAGTATGTCTTAATAGTCATTAAACTGGTGTGGGCTGAATGGGAGCAGCATACCTTTATGTGGGTTCATTTGCTCTTTCTTGGGCTACAATTTTTGGTTTTTCTATGACAAATTCTTATTCATCCTTCGGAAGAATTCAAGCATCAGCTCCTCTGTGAAGGATTATCTAATCCTCTACTTGGAGGAATGTCTTTAACATATACACATCACCACACATATGTCTCTTTTGCAGTACTTGCCCACTTTGCTTGGGATGTTCATTTATTTTGACCACATGCATACTTATAGTCCCATAGATCTAAAAATATAGAGGACAGGAATTTTGTCTACTTTAATCAGTAGCTTGAAAAACTACTTTGGTACGATGCTAATGAAGAAGTAAAGTAAGGCAGAAATAGAAATATTTTAGATAAAATTTTAAACATTTTGAAAATTATTAATGTCATGATAAAAGGAAACATTAACAGTTTAAAGCCACATATGCTTAATCACAAAATGCACAATAACTGAATGGGAAATATGTTCTTTATTAATGAGTAATGATTGTGAGAAACGGAGGTATTTTAGTTGATTTTAATTCAAATAAAGCTTGACTATATGGTAGATACTACAATTCTACTAGTATTTCAGAAACATAAAAATACTGTTTAGAATAAATAATTCAAAGAACACAGTACTTTGACCTGGTTAGAACACATTTCACTTTTTAACATTTTGTTTGATTTTCCAGAATTTTTATTACATTTATTTAGTGTAACAATTAAAAGGTATAAGGATGCAAACAGTGAAAATTTTTTTAAGTCATAGTCATCTGTCTTTTTAGTTTCCATTCCTCTCAAACTCTTTCTTGAGTTTCCTATTTCTGATAAGAAAACACAATTATGAATTATCCCCTTCTCCCACTTTACATAAATGTGCATATATAGGCAATATTTATAACTTGCTTGTTTTCCATTAAAATATATTTTAAAATATACCCAATTTGAAACAATGTTTTTAAAAATTATTTTTAGTGCTGCAGAATTTTCTTTTGGATAGATGGATTAGATTTTATTCAGTCCTCTATAGATAAACACTTCAGTTGTTCCCAGTTGTTTGTAATTGTAAGTGATGCTTCAGTGAAAATATGGTAATATTTTGTTTCACATGAAGTAGTATAGTCATATAGGATATTCTTAGATGTAGAGTTTATGTCTCACAGTGTATGGGAGATCATTTATAATTTTAATATATACCATCAAATCTTAGTATCTCATAATTTAAGTATAATTCTGGTGTAATGCACATATCTTTGTATATTTTTCTATTAGATTATTAATTAATTAATAATTAAAAGAGAAAAAAGGATAAAAAGGATAAAAAGGAAGGAGCAAAGTCTCCAAGAAATATGGGACTATGTGAAAAGACCTAATCTACGCTTGATAGGTGTACCTGAATGTGAAGAAGAGAATCAATCCAAGCTGGAAAATGCGCTTCAGGATATCACTCAGGAAAACTTTCCCAACCTAGCAAGGCAGGACAATATTCAACTCCAGGTAATACAGAGAACACCACAAAGATATTCCTCAAGAAGACCAACCTCAAGGCACATAATTGCCAGATTCACCAGGGTAGAAATGAAGGAGAAAATACTGAGGGCAGCCAGAGAGAAAGGTCAGGTTACCCATAAAGGGAAGCCTATCAGACTCACAGCAGATATCTCAGCAGAAACCCTACAAGCTAGAAGAGAGTGGGGGCCAATATTCAACATCCTTAAAGAAAAGAACTTTCAACGCAGAATTTTACATCCAGACAAACTAAGCTTCATAAGCGAAGGAAAAATAAAACCTTTTGTGAACAAGCAAGCACTCAGAGATTTCATCACCACCAGGCCTGCTTTACAAGAGCTTCTGAAATAACCACTACACATAGAAAGGAACAACCAGTATCCGCCTTTCTAAAAAATACCAAAAAGTAAAAAGCATCAACATAATCAAGAATTTACATCAACTAATAGGCAAAACAGCCAGCTAAAATTAAATGGCAGTATTAAACTCACATATATTTTTATTAATTCTAAATTTAAATCGACTAAATCCCCCAATCCAAAGACACAGACAGGCAAAAAAAGCCAAAACCCATTGGTATGCTGCATCCAGACCCATCTCACATGTAAGGATACACAAAGACTCAAAACAAAAGGATGGAGAAAGATTTACCAACCAAATGGAGAGCAAAAATAAATAAATAAATAAAAAGCAGGAGTTGCTTTAAAACAACAAAGATCAAAAGAAGCAAAGAAGGATATTCCATAATGATAAAAGGATCAATGCAACAAGAAGAGCTAAAGATCCTAAATATATACACACCCAATACAGAAATACCCAGATATATAAGACTTATAAAGAGACTTAGACTCCCACACAATAATAGTGGGAGGCTTCAACATCAATATTAGACAGATCAATGAGACAGAAAGTTAACATCAATATCCAGGATTTGAACTCAGATCCGGAACAAGTAAACTTAATTAACATTTATAGAACTCTCCACTTTAAATACACAAAATATACACTCTTATCAGTACCACATCACATATATTTACAGGTTTAAATGAAATATTGGTTGGCTGCTTGTTTGTTATTTTCTTCCCTCATTTTTTTTTCATGTCTCTATTATTAAGAACAATTATAGGCATACCCATTTTTAGACTGCATTCTAGCCCAGGCAATAAAGCAACACCCCTGTTCTCTCTCCCTCTTCCTCTTTCTCTTTCTTCCTCTCCTTCATTCTTTTTTTTTAATTCTTTTTTTTCTTTCTTTCTTCTTTTTTTTTTTTAGAAAAAAAAATACAAAGAAAAAAAATTTAAAAAATATAACTCAGTCCTTGTAGAGACTGCCAAAAATTGCCAATGCCAACTATATTTCAAGTTGTCATAATGGGATATTGGGAGAAGTTGTTAATTAGCAATAATCGCCCCTGGAAAAACCTCATTGGCTACACAATACTGCCACTGTACAAAGCTAGATTGTCAATCTTTTTTGTCATTCACTGAACTCTTGTAGTTTGTTATCAAGAGTAATGCCTTTTTATGTTATAAGTGGCCAACATTTTTTGTGTTTTGCTTACCTTTTGACTTCACGGTATTTTTCTGGTCAGTCAAAAAAAAATTAAACTAATTTTTGGTTGATGTGGTCTATTGTTTCAACATTTTATTTCTACTTTGAGATTTTGTCATAGTTTTAAAATAAATCTTTCTCTAATTGAGAAAAGAACTTTCTTGTCTTTCTCTAGCATTTTTATTTGTTTCATTGTTTATTGTTAGAATTTTGATCTATTTGTAATCAATACTGTCTAGTTTGAATTATTTATCAGACACTTCTTTCCATGTCGTTACATTAGCTTTTTATTCCCGCAATATTTAGTCTATTTACCCCTCTATCATCATTGCTTTCAAATGTCACTGCTAGTAGAGGCAATTAGGACTTACTAGATAGTCCAAATGATTCCTTATACATTCTTGTCTGCTTTGCAATTTGGCTGGGACGAAGTATGTTCTTGTGTCTAAAGGGCAGTAACCAACAGTAGTGGGTCTCTCTTTTGCATAGGAGGGAATTGAAAGCTGGTGTGCCACACTCATCCCATTTTTCTCCCTTCATGTCGACTCCACTGTCACATGTTACAGAAAATTTAATTCCACAGTGGCAAAGTCATTATCAACCTAGGTGCCTGAGCAAGCATGCCTAACAAAACCTCATCAGTCCATACTAGCCATGTTATAGGAATAAGAGATAAATCACTGAAATTTGGAGGTTAATAACAGCAATGTATCCTCTCCTAGCTTGAACACTAAGCCATGTTTGTCTTATACTAAAAGCCCACGTGTATTTAAACATATTTCTTAATTTTTATTCCCATTAGTTTGTATGTGTGTATGTGTGTGTGTGGAGATATATACCAAGATTGTCAAGGAGGCCTCTTTCTGTTCTTCTTTAGAGCTTAACAGACAAGTATCTCACAGGCCTAGATAGCTTAAAGTGGGAGTATGCCAATTACTCAGAGTTCTAGAGTTTCATGGGTTTTTGTTTTGTTTTGTTTTTTTGCTTTTTTTTTTTTTTCCTACAAAGATGACTACCACTTAGGGAAATAGATTTTGGAAACATTTTAGTATTTAACAATTTCCTTGTACATACAGTGAAGTTTTTCAAACGAATTACTTGGCCATACTGATGGTAATAGCACTCAAAAGACATATATTATCTCTAGTTAAAATGATGCATTTGGAGTTTAAGACCATCACCATTAATATAAATCTCAAATATCTTAGATATGCGTATTTATATTAAATTGCTCTAAATAGATCTAGACCTAAAATTATAATTAAGGCTATAATCTTAGTTTTACATTTACGCCAAAAATGTATTAGTAATTTAAAACAAAGTGGATGTCTTTTAATACATTGCTAAAGTAGTTTTTAACTTTGTTGTTGTTGTGGGAAACATTTAAAATTGAATAAAAATTAGGTCAATCTATGTAGCATAGAAATAAAATCTTAAAAAAAGACTGCACAGTATTTCTTAGAGTTCACAGATTCTACTGAATGTATAAAACAGACAATCTGCCTCACTTTTTCTTCTTATAAAGTGGAGGTAGTAATAGACAATCGTAAAGATTTTGAGAAGTCTATGTCACAACAAATAGTGTTAGAATGAACATTACAACTACCTCACATAGTGTTAGAATTAACATTATAGCTACCTTTAGTCTTTAATTATTACTAAATTAAAATAGCTAAAACCTTTGGAAGAATTTCTTGGATACATATGCCAATAATTATTAATAATATTATTAACATTAAAAATGCTGACAAACAGTGTTCATGGACTAATACATACTTTTAGGATAATCATCAACTTACTATGAAAATTTATGTCTTTAGTTGTAATAAATGTTCATTATTTTTTAAAAGATTATACTTGGAAGGTTTGAAAGGTTTAAAAATATCAAATCTCTTTCTCTTAAATCTCTAAGATTTCCTGGTTGTGTTCTATGGAGGTTGAAAAAAAAATTGAGGAATAGCATTTAGCATATACATTCAGTCACTGCATCGTTCAGATAGCTGCTTTTTCTACCATAGTTATTTTCTGTTAACATGTATTCCACGGAAAACAAAACAAGGATCTGACCATTTTTCTAAAGTTTTGACCATTATATTAGGGAGAAAGTAAGAATAGAATAAATTTTAGCAAGGTTGGACTGAATTGGAGATGATAAAGAATGTTTAACTCCTTGTCCAAGGACTGGTAGTTGAGAATCATGGTATAAAACTAAACATTAAACTGGCCATATATTGCTTTTATGTTAATTTCAAAATTCTATTAGTAATGACTGTTTTATAATAGATGAAATACTCTATATGTCCTTCTAAAATTAATATTTAAAACCATGGTTAATATTAATAATTGAGAAATAAATCATGCTCTGCCTCATCGATGTCTTTGTCTTGCTTCTTTAAGTGGATACCGCTGCTTATTCCAACATTTGGTCACTGGCAACATTTTTAGGTTGACTTGATTTACAACATCTGTAATTATATAATTTCTGTATTCTAGCCAACCTTTATAAAATTTATTTCATGCCTACCTGTACTCTTAACTTATTCTGGAAATTAGCTGGCATGAATTTATTTTCTCTATTCTCATTTGATAATTTTTCAGGTACATCAACCGTTTGCCAGCATTTTATTAAGGTATGTCCACTCTACGTTTTTTTTTTTCCCTTTGGATTTTCATGAATTTGATGGCTTTTCTGCAACATTTTTTACAAATATATTTTATTTTTTACAAATATATTTATTTTACAAATATATTTTACAAAAGCATTGTAACTATAGTTCATGAGAAGAAAACACAAAGAGTTAAATATTCATAAATTTGAATGTTGCTTCTATTGACTTTGCAAATGATTATATTTGATAACTTTGACTTGATTTCTTAGGTACCTTTGCTTACAATACTTCATTTATTTTATATATCGTATATTATATTTACATAAGACTACATAGAATATGTGGATCATGTATAGTTTACATGTAAATATAACACAATAAAGAATATGTGCATTATACACATTTCAGATATGCACGTATGGTATACATGAGAGAGTAACTGTCTCTGCCTCTGGTGTCAAATTTTATGAATAAAAATTAATGATGCCAGGTGCTATAACATATTTACTAGGGATTACAGGCATGAGCCACCATGCTTTACCATATACCCTAACTTTAAGATAATTCTTCTCTATCTGTTTTCAAATTTTCTGCCTGAAAATAACTAGAAATCATTGATATACTAGATTCCATTTCTTGCAGTTTATATGTAATAGTTATGAGTTTTGTTAGTTAAAACCAATCCAAGCAGACTTTATTCTGTTGCAGTTATCATTAGGCAATTTAATTTTGTCTCTCCACTAAGATGTTTGTTTGCCCTTCTACTTCCTTCAACATTTTTCCATTTTTCTCTCAGTAATGTAATCTATCAACTGATGTGTTGCAGTATTGGAAGTTCTACTTTATTTCCCAATTTTCTGGTACATGTTATGAATGAAATGTCTTCCTAGTTATGGAAACATTCTGTATACCTGACTTTCTCAGAATCTCTTTAAAGATATAGCAGGTAGTATGACAACTGAAATTTTTTATGAAATGTTTCCTTTATGTAACTATTTGCGAGTAGTTAACAAGAGTCTAAAAGCCACTTCAAAGTAGTGGATGTATAGTATCTGTTCAGCTGGCACTGCTTCTGTGGCATTCTGTCTTGTAAGCAGCAGAGAATTTGACTCTTCATTAATTTTCTTGTAACAGTAACTGAAATAATATGTAAGTATTTATTGATAATGGATCCAAGTTAATGTAAATTAATTTGCTAGGAATAAGACAAGTTTGCTAGGAACTAGATGAAGTTTCCTGACAAGAAAGGAAAAAGATAAAATGACCTCAGAGGTTATGGCTTTCTAAGTCTGAAGTGGCCTGAATACATTCATTATTCTTATGTCTTGACCATATGTTGCTGAGATTTGTTACAGGTCTGGCTTCAAAACACAACTTTTTAACACTTGTTTATATTCCCTAAGGGAGTCTTAGAGATCACAATCTTTGAAAATAATTCAATAAAACATTTATTAATAAAACAGATGACTCCCCAAATTGATGACTTGGAAATTAGTAGTTTCTAAATGAATCTTGTAACAAAGATGGCATTAAAACTAATATCTAAATTATGTTTTGATTAATTTTGGCCATTGTGTCTTTTAAATTTGCATTTGTTTGCCATATTTACTGAATTTATGTTTCCTTTAAAACAAAATCTAATGATTTTGTTCTTCTAAATTTGTGGTTATATCTTTCATTCCTGAACTTGTCCAGTTTTTCTAGCTTCTCTATCCTTTTATCTGACTCTCTCTCTGTCTCTCTGTCTGCCTGTCTCTCTCTCTCTCTCTATATATATATATTTTTTATATTTATCTAAATATATTTATATATATATTTTACTATATATGTGTGTATATATATATGTTTTTATTTAAACAAATTCTAATAAGCTGTTTCTTCTTAGTGCATTTTAAAATGACAAAATTTTGTATTTATCATTTTTATGTTTTTGGTTCTTCAATGTTTCACTATTTTCAGCTCTCAAATTAAGTAACTTTCATTTCTAGAAAGTTTTAAGTTTAACTTGCTCTTTTGTTAAGTTTTCAGAAGATTAGTACAAGGCTTATTTTCATTTTTTATTAAAAAATAAAGGCATTAAACGTAAATTAAAGGCATTCAAAGGCTTTTATGGAAATATTCCTTTTCATTGGTTTGTGGGTAGATTATAATTTCACTTTGAATTACCTGTTTGACAAAAAGACTATCTAAAAGTAGGTTTCCTAATTTCAAAGAAGTTATGATTTTTAATCATTTTTATTATTTGTATTTAATTTAATTGGCTTCTAAAACATAGGCTTTTAAATGTCTAACTTTAA